TAATCTTCCCCCAGACTTTTTGAATGGTGGTGTATCAGTTTCCACCTAAATTTTAAGCAGCAAAAATTAAGCTGTTTTCAATGACAATAATAAGAAATAAGTAAGTAAATAATACTAAGAAAAAAGTTTTTTTGAGCAGCAAATCAGCATATTAGAATGATTTCTGAAGGGTGACACTAAAGTAATGGCTACTGAAAATTCGGCTTTGCCATCACAGGAATAAATTACACTTTAAAATTATTATTTTTTAAAATCATTTTTATAAAATTATTCAGTTATTTTAAATTGTAATAATATTTCATAATATTATTTTTTTGTTTGTTTTGTTTTGTTTTTTATAAAATAAACGCAGTCTTTGTAAGCATAAGAGACTGCTTTCAAAATTTTAAAAATTTCATTTTTAAAAAATCTCAATTATTCCAAACTTTTTACCAGTAGTGTATGCATGTATACTGTGTTAATAAAACATGTTCTAATAATTGGTCAAGTCATGGAAATAATGGTTAAAATTACACAAAATGAATATGAAAATATTTATTGACTTTTTAATGTTGTGTCATTTTCATCAGAGTATTTTGATAATTGCTCTACATTTATGTATTTGTGTAAACACACACAGGCCTACAGTAAATTTAGTGTTAAATGTATTACTTAAAGCTGCAGTCCGTAACTTTTTTTGGTTAAAAATTATCCGAAATCAAAATTTGAGCAAGTACATAACTAGCCAGTGTTCAAAATTATTGCCTTACTTTAGCCTGTTTCACAACGGTTAGCTTATAATAATGTTTTGTAATTAATTACGGGTAGGTTTTTGCGGGAAATTCAAGCATGGTACTGTGTCATTACGTCACTTCTGTAAACATAAAGAATTTGTCCCGGCTAGTAGGCTATCGCATGTGAGGATCCTGCAGGTGGCCGATCGTTTATAGCCTTTTCTCTCAGCAGCTAGAATAATTAAATGTTAATAATTAAAAGTTGCAAAGACTAAAGTCTCAAATCCAAAGAGATATTCTTTATAAAGAGTCAACCACGCCTACCTAAAACGGCTC